ATCTTGGCCATGAACCCCCCCCACACCCCACACCCTAAGGGCCACTCCTGCGGCAGGTTGGCATACAAACTGACCGGGGGTGCCACAGGGGGCAAGGCCTCGAGCTCCTCTGCAGTCTCTGCACTTGCACGTGCAGTCATCTCGACTGAAAGTGTTTGGTAACGATGTACCATATGCATCGCTCTCTGCTCTGCAAGCAGAGTAATCTCTGTGTCCACCGACCCAGATTGCTCTTCTTCCTCCTGGAGGTATATTTCCTTGGTGGGGGCAGCAGTCTCTGTTGGTGTGTGAGTGTCTGGGTCATTGGTAGACGCTGCAGGCATTTGAGGATTGGTTACACCCGTTGCGGGAGGTCTGGCTGTCACCATGCTGAGCAGGCCTGGTGGTGGCGCCGGCGGTGTTTGGAGTCGGGCATGGAGTGCATTTATCAGCCCTTGTTCTGGGTCCCTCCGCTGTTGGTCCGTGGCCGGTTTGGCTGCTTTGGATTTAACCGCCAGGGGCCCTTGCGGCCTTGGCTGCGAAATTCCTTGGGGGATAAGTGCCTCAGCTGCACCAAGGTTTTTCTGATCGGACAGGCTTGTCGGACAGTTGGAGGATGTGCTTTCCGGGTCCACTCCTTGAGGAGGAGCTGTCGTGCCAGCCAAAGGGTCTGGCGTCCATCTGTTACGTCTCTTTGCTTCTCCCGGAGGGAGGGTGGCGGTGCCATCAACCCTCCACTCTGTTCAGCCAGATGCTGTTGATACAAGTTAACTCATATATGAATGAATGTAAAATCCCTTTGCATCCACATGGAACGTTATTATCTTGGCCATGGTTCCCCCCCCAACCCCCCCACCCCACACTCCTCCTGCCGTCCACCACTACTTCTTACTTGACTGAATGTAAAGCCCGTTGCATCCACATGGAACGCTATTATCTTGGCTTAGTTTCTGAACAGTCTAACTTGGTTTCTGAATCGACTGTTTTGGTTTCTGAATCGGCTCTTTTGGTTTCTGAATCGTAGTTGCTGAATCGCCTGGTTTGGTTTCTGAATCGGCTGTTTTGGTTTCTGAATGGGGACTCGCTTGGTTTCTGAATCGGCCCGTTTGGTTTCTGAATCGGCTCATTTGGTTCCTGAATCGGACCATTTGGTTTCTGAATCGGACTGTTTTGGTTTCTGAATCGTAGTTGCTGAATCGGCCATTTTGGTTTCTGAATCGTAGTTTCTGAATCGGCTGTTTTGGTTTCTGAATCGTAGTTGCCTGATCGGTTGGTTTCTGAATCGGCTAATGACCCATAAAGTGGCACCCCGACTTGGATGTCCAGCTGTATTTTTGACACGTTTTGTTTTCCGTCTATTTGAGGTCATTTGAGGGTGACGTTGAAGATTTGACAAACAGGTTCAGTAGCTACTCTGTGATGGTTGCTGCGATAGGTTGTGAAATACCCTTGTGGAATGTGAATACTTTTTGTGGGATCTTGTCCTTTTTTTCCGGAAGTGCTTTGGGCTTTGGAAGCAAAAGGAGCAGCCAAAGGGTTAGGAGAAGCAGCCGGAGAGACGGAGACGCGGAGAGAGGTACGGGAGAAGAACCAAGCTATAATGCCAAGAAAAAGAAGCAAAAAGGATAGAAGAGAGGAGCACATGAAAAACACTAAGAATCCGGGCCCAACAAAAACACACAAGGTTTGGTTCGGGCCCGGACCTCTGCTGCGGAGGGTCCGACCGGCTTCGGGCTTCGCTTCGCTTCTTTGCTGTTTCTTTGGGCTTGGCTAAAGGCCTCACTTCCTGAGGAGGGCTTCTGGGCTTCATTACATGCTCTTTGGGCTTGGCTTCGCGTGTCACTTGTTTAGGGATCTTTAGGGTGTCATAGGGTGTCTTTTGGGTTGACTCGTTTTCTTGGGACCAGCTTGCCTTGAACCACAATGTAAACCCATTTGTCCGACTGTTTTCCAGCTCCCTTCGGTTCATCCCCGAATCATGTGCCCGGTCGCCACGGGGCCGGTCACGGATCGATTCCGCGGGCGCATGCGCGTCGAAACCGCCGTGTTGCGGAGGATTGAGCTTCGTAGAGTTTGGCCAGCGTATGGAGGCTGGTCACCAACTGCATGGTCGTTAAGTGATGAATCCTCCGCTTCACCATGTCAAGGATTTCCTGAATCGCGGGAAGTGGAGAATAAGAAGCACTAGCAGCTTGCACATGCACTGTCACTGGCACTGCTCAGTTAGAAGCAGAGTTACAGTAACTGAATTGAAGGCTTTGCACAACATGCTGCCTGCAACTAAACTGACAAGCATGGCTTTCTTCGAGATGTTCGTAGAGCCCACTCAAAAAGAAACCGTCTTGTTATTGCCTATACATGGTATACAAATCACACCAAAATCAGTATCAAACAAACATCAAAGACCCATTCACACCGAAGGCTTACAGGGTCTCTACCGTTTCTGATCCTCACCAAGACCAGAATGCAACCCGTCTCTCAAGATCTCGCCCAGTTTCGTACATATCCTGCATTTCTCCAATCGCCACATCGTCCTCTCCGGAGTCCGCCGCCACCTCCTCTTGACTTGGCTGCATTGGACTCGTTCCCATTGGACTTGTCATCACCGCCATCCCCGTTGGGATTCCCACGGGCGTGGGCATTCCTGTGGGCATTTGGGCAGCTATCGCAATGGGAATTCCCGCGGGAACCGCGGGCATGATCGTAGGCTGGATGATCGCTGCACCCGTGTTGACACTCGGATTCATTTCATCCATCGGATTCAGGGCAGCTCTTGTAGGAGTCACTGTCCTTGGAGTTTGGCTTTCGGACACGCGTTGGACATGCAGAAATGTCACACCCAGCAGTAGAGGAATGACTGTTCTCACCAGCTCGATTTGTTCAGTTCTGAGTAATGCCCAAGACCCAGCATGCCACCATTCAGGGGCCCCCCACAGTCACCGGATACAACCCACAAGCACCCCTTGTTCCAGGGGTGGTTAATGGACACGCCTTAACTGCCAAGGAGCTATAACTAGGCATTTCCTTGGGGGGTGGTACATGTTCTGAAGGTTCTGCAAACCTTTTTTGTTCAACTCCAACCGGTCCGTGAACTCCGCATGTCCAAGCCACCAAACTCCCATCGCCTGACCAGTGCATTGGACCGGTTGCGTGGGCCCCTCCTGAAGGAGGTCACTGAGCTTCAGGACATTCTGTGGCCTCCAGCTGGGTTCGCTGCATGTCGTGCTCGACTAGAACTGATCGATCTAACAACGACGACCATTGCATCAAAATTGGACTCATACCAGGACCCTCATGGACCCTCCATTTCGGGGCTATGGATAGCTCTTGTTCCAGACATGTTTCGGCCAATTCAAATGGAACACCATAAAAGCTACCGAGTCACACAAACAGGAAGAGGTTGGAAGAGGGTAGAGTCACTATAGTCAAAGTTGAAACGTGTTGAAACAAATATGTTTGAGATTATGTGAGTAATTACATTTATCTAAGTTGGGGGACATTACCAGGGCCCAGTGGATGATGATGGATGTTTGTTCCAGCCCTTTATGAAACATGCTCCACTTCACAGGTGTTGTGAGCTCAAAGCGCTTTTCACCATGTTGGACAAACTCCCGTCGCCCTACTCAGCCCGATTCCCCATGCCTCTGCTGTGGTATCGGTATGGGCAGCTCGAGCAGCTTGGCCATGTGCGCAGGCGCCTCCATGTGACAGCGCAAGCCCTGGAGACAAGGGGACAAGCAGGACGAGGGGACCGAAATCGGTTTGCTCAACTCTGACGGCCATGTTTCAAGGTATCAATGTCCTTCTGAAGAAAGCCCTTCTGCAGGACTTCGTGCTCAGTGAAAAATCCGGAATTAGTCGACTGTATACGTGGGGCTTTCTCTTTTCCTCATGGCCACAAAAAACGGTTGATTGAATACTTTGGCCTATTTCTATAGATTCTAGACTAGATTTCACCATGAAGGTACTTCAGGCCGTTGAAGGGCCTGAAACGTCAGAAACCAAGAATCCCATGGACGGCAGAAACCAAGAGCAACGATCCTTTTGCGGCCAAAAGTTCGTTGAACCCAGAAAGTGGTCGCCGTGTCCAAAGCTATGGCTTCACTTCATGCCTGTCTAAAACATCTTCACCAGGAGCATCCTGTCTGGCTGTCCTGGACTACCCTACACTTAGGGATATCCACTGGACACCCATTGGATGGTTCAGGTATATCTGAAACCAAGTTCATCCAATTGCTCCATCCTCTCCGACGGTGTCTTTTCCCGCGTACCGGCCAAACAAACCGGATCGGATCCTCACCTGGAGCAAGTTCTCCTGCTCGAGCTCGCTGGGCTGAGAACTCATATACATGATGGCCGCGTCTCTCGGCACACCCCGTTTGAGGCGTCCGATCTGGCGGCCGATCGATGAAAAACTACCAGCCAAACGTACAAGGCTGCGGTAGGAGCTGCGGTAGGTGCACACATAAGACACACCCCGACACACCCAGGTGCGGGTCACAGAATTATGACAATGTATATACTGAAATGCCCCAAACGTTCTCGTCAATGAGAAGAAACATGGCCAAGACCCGTGCCTGCCTGTGCTCATGTGTCAAGGGTGTAAAATCTTGAACATCAACGGGATGGTCGAGAATACCTGGGTTCACCATTCAGTGAATCTTGAACAGAAATCTTGAAGCACCATGAAGTACCTGGGATAATCCTGGGTACACTTTTGACTCACCTGGAACGCGTCTCCGCATTGTTGTGCTCTCCGATTCTCGTGCGAGTCGCTGCGAGAACATCGGGATGGTTCGAAATGAACAGCTAATTCTTTGGAGTCTCAAGAGAACTTGAGACTGGTCTTTTCGTGGAAGACGAGTCAACACCGACCTTCGTTACGGATCGCAGAATCCGAGAAATAGAATGAAGAACGAAGACGACATGCAACACACCGTACCGTTTCCGTACCGTTTCGGCCTCCAGACCCGTCTCGCGCTTAAAAACGGCGCTTTTCGCCCTCCAAAGCTCCGAGCATCGTGGCCCCATCCGAAGAGGGCGCCATGTAGTGTTCGGTGCTGACCAAACAGCAGTTCTTGTGCTTGATATCCGTGTGCGTGCAGTCCAGGTCCTGCAGTTTTTGTTTCGGCACACAGGTGATATGACATGTTCAGTTAGCAAGATTCACATATATTGAACAGCATGTTGAAGTGAGCAAAAACAATCACGCACCCTGTATGAAATGCACATCACCACATATGCGACGAATGGGTGTTGTAGTTGTTAGACCCTGTGTGTGAATATTAGGGAAAACGACAACAATACGGTCGTACGGAGTCATACGTCAATACGGTGCATTCCAGAACTTGTTTGGATCGTTTTCTACTGTTTTTCAGAGAAACGCCAACACCTCGCAGCAGTCTTAGACATCGGATGGGATGAATTAACCTTGGGAAGTCTTAGGCCGGTGAACAGTTGGAGAACAATGATGCGTATCAGTTGAGTATCAAAGTCTTCGGGCAATGGAGGGTGGCTACAGGATGACTTCCTGCAACGGGTCGGAGTTGATCTTTGAAGATCTATAAGGTCCAAACATGTCCAAGAATTGTGGGGTTTCATCATGTTTCATCTTTCTGAACCCACCGTTTCTGACACTTTTGGACCGGAAACACTGAAGGTTCAATTCCAGTGTCACAGAGCTTGCCAGAGGTTCCAAACACCACGTGCTTGACTGAACACCTGCTTGTCGAAAACTTTGACAGAACACGGCCTGTGCTTGACATCCATTGGGACGCCACCACGCCTCGCCTGGACACCGAAAACGGCCGCAAACCGGTCGCCCTGCCTGCAGCACTTTCAATTGTTCTAAAAGCTGCCTCCTCAGTGCAAATGACCAGCAAAGGTCAGGCACATTCATGGGCTAAGTCAGCTTCTCAGGAGTCTAGCTAGTCACGAGTCCGATAAATGTTTGGGGTTCTTACTTCAGGTATAGGGAAAGGTGCCTGTGTGCGCGTTGGAGCCTTGGTGTTGGTGCCGCTGCAGGGTGCTTCGCACAAAGAAGTTTCCCTATCTGGGGTCTATGCTGGCGCAATGTGTTTATTGTTCAATGCGTTTCTGCTTGAATTATAGTCATAGTTTAATGTTTTGAATCTTAAACTAAAACAAGACGTCGTGTATAATTATATCATATAAAAACCAATTGTTGACAATACTTTAGTTTGATGTTGCTTATTTATATCACTGTTCTATGTTCACTGTTCTATGTATCTATTTTATTGTCGTAGCAGTATATAGTCGTTGTGGTGGTGGCGGCACTGGAAAACCACAGTTTTCGGATGCTGCTAGGCTCACAAACTGAGAACGCAACAACACAAACAACAAACAACCGAAACAAACAACGAACAAAGCAACCGGCCAACCAACAAGCAAGCAAACGAACGAACCAACGAAAAAAATAACCAACAACCTACTACTATCACCACCACCACCACTACTGCTACTGCTACTGCTACTGCTACTGCTACTGCTACTGCTACTGCTTGTTAGCTTGTTGTTGTTTTCTCTGTGTTTTTTTTTTGTCAGGTACCCCTGCGCGATTGATTGCCCAGGTACACCAACTTCTGAGATTGACCAGTGATGAAAAGAAACCTCTTAATAGAGGTTTTCTTTAATTCAAGTGTTGCAGGTCTCCAGCGTTGTGAAAAACGGATCTCGATGGATCGAAGCGAAGCGAGCGTGCGAAGCGTTCGCCCGAAGCGTTCGAAGCGTTGGTTTGAAGTCGAAGATGTGGGCCACAAAGAATTCCTATAGGCCCCAAAGAAGTATCTATCTCTATAGTCTCTAGCACAACATCCTCTACTCTACTGGATCTTAGACCACCATCCATGAAGGTTGAACGGAGGGCTCATGTAATACATGCCACCATCCAGTTACAGCCGGGCACCAGCACAGGACCCCAAATGGAGGAAAACAACAACATGTCTGCTGACCCATGCGTTCCCATCATCAGTCAGGTCCAACGCATGGTGGAGGACTCCCATGTTACACCCTGGCCGGAGGCAAGCTCTACAAACCAGTCTGTGATGGCCATGTGTCTGGAAGACATCGCTGACCATCCCTCGAACAGCTATAGCTGTTTAAGGACCAGCACCATTGGGCTGAATTCAGGATCCGGTTCGTTTTCAAAACCATTTTACCCTGGAAGACTATCATGGACCCTAAAAGCCACTGGTTAGAGGAAAATCGTCTTCCATAAGGGCCATTGTCAGGGTCTATGTCTATGTTAGTTTTCGAGAGTGTAAGCCACTCCAGATTTCACAATGGCATGGTTGAGGCCTGGGGCCCTTCACTCTGGTCCAAGGATCAGCAGGGTTCGGACCATCGAAAGATGGAGCCCTCGGTTCCCGTTGCTGCGCACCAGGTCAAAAAGGGAGGCATCCAGCCATTCCTCAAGGAGTGGGATCGTTGGAAGCAGCCCGGGAAGATCAGGATATGTGGAAATGACAATTCAAAATGACATGTTTAAAGATTTCCCCCTTCCAACATCCATGTAACAAACACCTCCCCTCTGTTTGGGATGTGATGTGTTTTCACATCGTTTCATTTCTGGTTGACTTTCACTCGTCTACTTTCAAGCCTGGCTGAGCAGCTCCACTCCAAGACTACCAGACCAGACCAAGGCAAACAACCCAAATCTCTTCCGATTTCTCGCGGAATGATTGATGCCAAACACTTAATATATAATCCCCAAACGCTCCACGTATGCCATATATGCCTACATTGACCCCCGTGGCACCACCCCTGGCCGTTTCTCGGCAGTCCTATGGCAGTCGACGGGTCGCGTCTGGGATCAATAATCCCAAAGCAACACCACTGGGATCCGATCATGAGACTTTCCCAATGGCCACTTTCTCTCGTCCACGTTTTTTTGCAAAAAAACACGAAAAAAACACGTTGAGCACCGAGGTCGCAGGATCGAGGGCTTCGGCCATCCACGTGTGGGTTTCCACACGCGTGCTGGAGTGGTCCTCTTTGGTCCGAGTCTCCAGGATCAAACACCAATACTCCTGCAGCCGGGCGACTCCGCCCATGCGCAGTTCAAGGCGGAGTCCATGCTGATATTGAATCCTTCATAGTCTTGTGCTTTTGTTTTAAGATGTATGTACTCACCTGAACTACTCACCTCTGCAACAAAAGCTCATATATATATATATTTATTCATGTAATCTATGTAATACTCATAAATATAATACATATATATATAATATATTACAGATGCAATTCGAGGAGGTTGACCTCCATTTCTGGTAGAAGGATGCTATGATCTATCTGAGGGATGAAGAGTAAGTATGTAATCACTATATTAATCTAGTTTATATACTGTAATAAGGAAACAGTGTGTCTAGCGGTTCACCATGGTTCACCTGATTTCTCTTTGGGTCGTCAGAGTCATATGCCGGCATAGGTTGCGTGAGTCTGCCGTGAAGAACGTCAGAGTCGCATCTCAAATCCATGGAACGACATGCCAGTCGAAACACCTCCACAGTCATTGGATTACATGGTCCGCTGTCATGTACGGTTCGCCTTGCCTGACCCACATCGTCTTTGGTGGGAAAGGAGTCCACACAGCGCATGGTCAGAGGCTCCAAGCCTGCTTCACCTGGAGATAGGTCATCGGAGTTCTACTGTTGAGTCTTATCCCTTTCTGCCCAAGAACAAACCACCCTATTAGCAGTCTTGTGAGCTCCAATGCCTGTGAAAAAAGGCTTCGGGGAGTCAGGGAAGTCAAGTGCCATAATCCAGAGGTGTTCTGCATGGACCATCTGTTAGGCAAACGTTAGGGCAACATCTTAGAGGATGGTCTCGGCTTCCTCATTTTAACTCACTGGCAGCGAGCAAGCCTGGGATCTGGCCACTTGAGGCCCTCTGCCTTGTGGCCACGGGGGGGGGGTCTCCCTTCCATTCCCTTTCAAGTCGTAAAAAATATCTTGGTTTCCTTCTGCCATGTTCTCAATAGTGGGCCCGGTCACCGCACTAAAACACAAACACCACTCCGAGCCACAACGAAGAACCGGGTCGACATCTCGCCATCGCCGGTCGATGGCAAACAGGACATGTGGGTCGATCCACAGCAGGGGATCGACCTTGAGCTGTTGGTCTGAAAATCCCTAGGGCTCTAACCATATCCTCAAAAGAAGGTGGTGAGACCCCCTGGCACCCACCCACGCCAAGCACCGAACCTGAGGATGTGGTTGGAGCCCAAGGGAATAAACAAACTGGAGGATTTATGAGGAGTCATTTCTCAGGGGAGATAGCCGACCCAAACCATAGATGTTGCCTAATTACAGGGTCAGGTTTTTGGAGCTTAAGGTCCACCATTTTGGAATATTTTGGAGCTTAAGGTCCACCCTTTGCAAAGGGATGATGCTCTCCAATCCGCATCTCTCTGAACTACGCACTCGACAGGTGAACGTGACCATGTCGATTTGGGTGCCTCTCTCCCAAAGCGTGTTGCGTGTGGCGTGTTGGCACGGCCGGGACGTTGTTGTGACTCCAAGCGACGTTGTTGTGACTCCAAGCGCTGTAAGAGCTCACCCTCTTTGGGGCCATTGGAGGTGTACTGGATGTAGGAATCCTCCTGAGGAACCGTTCGGAACCCATCTTTTGCAGGGATCCAAACACGTCCAAACATTTCAGATGCTTCTGAAGACCAAGCCAACGCTCCCAGTGATCCCAGTGTAGTATGGACAGAACAGTATTAGACTGGTACATATTGGCATATATTGGCTCCTATGGAACAACTCCATCAATTGCATAAGTGTCACTCTCCAGACCATCTCTGTCCCTGCAACAACGGGTGTGTCTCGGGTGTGCCTCAGACCAACCAAGGACTCCGCGACAAAAGACGAACCCATGACCAACACCCAGTGGTTGCAGGATCCCCCTACCACACTCAAATCAATGGCCAAGCATCCTTGCGCATGACTTTGGCCGCAAAGACCTCCCCACGGCTCTTCGTCCAGCGGTTTCTTGCCCCCTCGAGACTTCGCGCCACGGTTCGCGGGGTCGTCTCAACCCGCACGCGGAAGACACGGCTGAAGGAGCCTTGGCAGTGCACCGGTCAGGGACCTGGAACCTGCTAGGATGGGTCAGGGACCATGGTGAGAAGCGGTGGATGGCGCCAGGACACCAAGAAGACACCGCCCGGGTCCTTTTGAATCTGCCAAGGAGCCACTGGCAACATAGTCCTCCACAATGTAGGTGACCCCTGAAGAAGTCGGCAGATGATGTTTCAACATCCGCGACACGCGCATGCTCGCTAGCGCGCTTCCGAGACGCTTTAAGTAAATCACTCATGTTGATGCAACATAAAACAATATTTGCCGCACTGATTGACTGTACACAGTATACACTCTACTATTCTTCATCCCTCGTGCTGCTGTTTTTTGTCTGTAAAACGTCAACAGTAGATGCTTCTCTTCCCATGATGTGACAAAACGTCCTCCCAGGAATTTGTCAAGTCCTCGAGTCCGAAAATGAGGCTCCAAAACACTTTGACATGGAGACAAAATGAAACACCTCTTCAAAGGACAAAACGCCACATGATCAAACGTTTGACAAAGAAAACACCAAAAAATGGTTTCATCATGTTTCATCAACGTGAAACTCTCGGTTTGAAATGGTTTGAAATATAGTTTAATGGTGTCACCTCATGCTGTCTTGCATGTAAGCTACGCTACATTGAACCGCAGGGCCCACATGGCTGATCATGGCTGTGGGTCCAAAACGAACCCCAAATGGACGGCCAACGGACCAACCTGAGTAGTCTACTTAGTATATGTGCACTGGTCAACCGGGTTCGTATCCACCCAACGGCGGAACCCACGGACGGGGGCCGACGCGCAGCGCTAGCGCCTCGTGGGTAGCCGTCCAAGCGCATCCCTTTGGACCAACGGACGAAGCTCGGGTCATCCGTAGGCTTCTGGGGTCCCTTCCTGGAGGCAGCCAAATGCTGGAACTCAAGGGAGTATCTGCCAACCAAAGAAGACCCAACTTTTCAATTCTTTTCAATCACGTTTCTTTCGTCTGGCACCTTGGCGCTTCAACACCCGCGCCCCTGGGGGACCCCTGGCACCTGGGCGCCGTGGAGTGGTGGGCAACAGCAACCCTCCCTCCAAGTGCCCATGGATCTGGACAACCCCATGGAAAGCGACCAACTGACCAACTGCCCAACCAGGGAGTGACCGGAGTGACCTTCGAATTGACCATTGTTTGTAAAGGACAGTCGCCTTCCAGGGGCGGCCATGCCATCCACGGCCATCTTTCTGTGGTCCAGTGGTCCAGTCGCGAACCTCCAAAAACATCAAAAAACAAAGAGAGGGGTCTTGCGCTGTGAGCGTGTGTATTTCTTCAGTAAAAGCAGCTATTCTTTGACAGCCTTGCAACATGACATGCACATACTCACACTGCTGTCCTCTATCTTAAGTCACTCGTGTCTCGTGTCATCTTTATTTTTGTTTTTGGCTGTAGCTGGCGAAGGCCTTAAGCTACGAAGACCTGGAGGAGATGGTCGAGGGGCTCACCACCCTCGACACCATTCCAACCAATGTCACACCAGAGTAACAACCGTCATGGTCTTTTTGACTTTGCATCTCCCCCCAAAGGATGATCTTGAACTTTCAAGCCAGCCTCTGGTTCACTGCATCGATATCATGTATGATCATGAGGAAAACATTGACTTCCACACATTGGGCCGCCATTACAAAGAAGCTTGTGACAAGCAAGACTGCAGCTTCTGCCCGCCCCTTTGGGTTTGAAGTCTGCTGTGCCAACAAAGGTCATAATGCAGATATGAGAAACACATCTGACCATTACACCAGTGTGAAGCATTTCGGGTCAAGGTATCCAGCTCGTCTATGGCACACCCTACAGATGAGGATGACCAGATTGACGCGGGGCACCAAAAATCGGAACTCAACAATACCAAACATACAAACGAGGGACGGTCAAAACTCCTTATCCTTCTTCAACGAAAAAATGGACGTCATCGGTTTTGAGTTGGACCTTATCGTTTTACAGTGTTTTGAGTTCGTCGCATACTTATGATATCTTATGATCATATACTGGGGTTCGGTTTTGAGGTGGACCTTATCGTTTTGCAGGGTTTTGCGCACAAACCTACCCCTCTTTACTAACGTGGTCTTCGCATGTTTTGACCATAATATCAAATGATGCATAATAAAGCATAATACCAAGACTGCAAGGAATAGGGTCCATAAGGGGCCAACTATTCCTCTACAGGATTAGTATTTGTTGGATTCTTGGTGTTTTTTGGGGGGGGCACTGGTTATTTTGCTATGGGAGTTGTATTTTTTGTATTTGTTGTCTACCCCAAACGGTTTCTCTGCAGGATTGGTATCTGCAAGAAGCGTGCTTTGATTTGGCATAGTTAATGCATGTTAATGCATTAATGAAAGGCATCTGCAGGAAACAATCAAAAAAAGCACACGCTCAGCACGCTGGTTTCTGAAAACAAAGAAACATTTCACAACGAACCTTCACGCAGGCAAACACTCACCTGAAAAAAAACACCTGACCAAATCCAACCAGTCACAGTCTTCATCAAAAATATCTAACGTTCAGCTTGACTGCCATGCTTCAAGGGAGTTCGCTCCACATGGATTGGATCAAACGTAAAGGCACTCCATCGTTTTGGTCGGATCACTTCATGGGTTGGAACACGTTCAATCCAAGTGGCCCACCGGAGCCTCCCTTGGAGCCGCCCTTGGAGCGGGCACCGCCCTTACCTGGACGTGGGACGTGGACCACCGCGGGACGTGGATTGAGTCTGGGTGAAGGCGGAAGTCAGGCCCTGGGGGCCCTGGGCCCCGGGGGGCCTCGTCTGACCATGTCTGACTTCCTTTTGGATTCTTTCGCCGAATACGACGACTCCTGGAGAAGAAGACGTCGGTGATTGGAGAAGAAGCGGCTCTGTGCCGACATGTTTCAGGGAAAAGCTCAGTGCGGAAATGAATCCAACAAGATCTGTTTCCTGCCCATGGCATGTGAACACAGACCCCGCAGGAAACAAAGAAGTTAAGCATCTCCAATTCGATCTCCAGGGTGCCTCTGCCACCCATACGTTGCGAGGGTTCCCGTCGCCACAGCACCGTGCCCACGCCAACGATGCTCGCCGCGTCGGGAAGGGGACACCAGGCAGCGGTCGTGCAGATGGGACTGGCAGGTGGAAGCTTGCTGCCTAAGGGGCCGCCCAGAAGAAATGCTCGGGCCATCGTGGCTGGCGCGAGCAGGCAGCAGGGCCATCGTGGCAGAGGAGTGGAGTTCGTGAAAAAGGTTCCGGACAAAGTCGCAATTGGGCATCCAGTGACCACTATAGCTGGTAACCACTTCTGAAGATTGGAGCAAAGTGCCAAGACTCACTGTTACTCAACTCCTTGCACCCATAGCTATTGACCACTGAGAGGTTCCAAAGACAAAAAACCATAGACCTAGACACCCTGGAGTGAAACCCTGGACTATAGTGTGGTATAAATAAAGATTGCTAAAAAAAAAACATTCGCCATCTACTCCCACCCTGGTTCCCAACTATCGTGGGAATCCACTCATTGGGGATTCTTCCTCCAACGGTCGCCTCCCAGGGCGTCCAGGGCTGCTCTGGACGGTTTGTAGTCTATTCGCTTCGTTGGGTGGTGAACCCGGGTCCCCAGGTCCCTTGATCTTGAAACAACCATATGAAAGGGTCGATCCAATCCAAACCCAGCCACTTCATTCCACTTCCTTGCTTTCTCCTGCAGTTCAAGCACTCTAATTGTGAGGAAACTACATTGGGGTCTGAAGATCTCGGACATTGGAGAACCCTCGGGTGAGCCTTCTGCTCGCGTTTCAGGAGTTTCAGGAACCACGAGAGGGGTAGAAGATGGTAGAAGTGTGTGTCATCGGCTCCAAAAACCCGCCATTTTCAGTGGCACTTTCCCAAGTCTTTGCACGTACTCCCTGCGGACCACCTGGCCCGAGCTGGACCGTGCTCATCTTTTCTCAGCGAGAACCCGGCAGAGTCTGGGTGGCAAGGAGACCTGGGCGCAGCGGCGATCTGCGGCGGCACGATGAACGAAACACTTCCAGTGCAGTGCGGCAGTGCGGTAGACCATCATGCAGTTGTATACACTCATTATACTTGTATACAGTATAGATGTTAGATTACATAATCGTATTTTGACAATTATGAGAATTATGTGAACTTTGAAGTCAATTCAATTGAAAACAGGTCTTCTGTCTGGTACAACCCAACGAAAACGGCCGGCGGCTTCTGCACAGCAGTTGCACAACCAGATTCCTCGCCACGCCGCAAAACGACGCGACAGCGCGAGTCACCGGGAGTGAATGCATTAAGACCACATGACGCTGATTTTTGTCTGCGCATCGCACGACTCAGCGGTACGAGGCAGGCACACGATCACCTCAGCAAAGATCCAGATTCAAACGATTTCTTGGGAGATCAAGTCAATACTTACCAAGATATTCTAATGGGCGAATCAAAACACAAAAAAGGCTTCCACAAGCCTTCCACGTGCATCTTTGGCAAGGCTCGTGCATCGGCCTTTGGCCTCTACTATCCTCTGCTTAGAATCCAGGCCCACTGAGAGAGTGATGGGTGGTGGTCAAGACTTTGTATAGGATGTTCACCTGCCATATCCCGCGACGTATCTATAGCTTTTGGCTCATATCCATTGCACAAACAGTGGTATATATACAAATATGTATAATGTTCAATGTTCAATCCATTTCAGTCTTCCTGTCTTTCTTTCTTGTCACTGAGGCTGCAGCATCAGGCTCAATATAGCCTTTGAGTCGTCTGAGGGCTGGAGCAAGCTCCTAAGATGAATCTGACTAAGCAAGGATGCGTGAGGCACATAGAAGGAATACATGGACCAGTGGAAAAGAATTGAACCTCCACTCCACTGCATTGTCTTGTTCACAACCTCCATGTTTACTTGCCAGGATAGGACAGTATCATGATAGTATCACCTCCCAACCGCTCCGAGCGCAAATCAAAGCAGACCGTCGTGTGCAAAATTGATCCACCAACCACCCGTGGATCTGGGGAATCGACTTTGGTAGGTAGCCGGTTCCTCCAAACGGTGCTTCTGGGGATCAAAGCTCCGTCTGTCCGTTCTGTGTCTGTCTGCCTGCCTGACCGGTTGGAAAACTGCACAGTGCCACTAGCCCATCGTTTCTTGTTCCGAAACATGCAGGTGTTGCAGGTGAGTTTTGGTTTCATCTGTCACCAATATATTGAGAGAGTCTTGAGATCCGGTAACATGTTTTGGGGCTGCGTCTTTGCAACGCCCCCCCCGGGCCACAAACTTAACCAGGCAACTGGCATCTCGTCTGAGAGAACTGGTGCTGAAGGTGACGGGTGAAAAAACACCAAGCGCCCGATCCCAAAAATCACCAACAAGTCTCCTAGGCAGGTTTAACATGTGTTTTTTTTCAAGAAACTTAGTTGACCTGGCAGTGAGACTGGAACTTCCCCAGCGCCCAGTCACTTGCTTTTGGCATTCACCAGGGAGATGGTCGCATGAACACTGCTCGCTGGCATCGCCTGGAGGACGGGAAATGTTCCGAGCATCACTGGCAGACAAAAGAACACGTTACTTCCAGGACATGGAATACTTCAGGCAAACAACAGTTTATGCTTGTTAACCATGTTCAAAAACGCTGTATGGTCAGCTGCGGATCGAATTACCAAGTCCAATTTGCGTGGCAGGTGCGGGAAAGTCAATTATCACACCGTTTTAAAATTGTACTAATAAAAGGCTTTCCGGTGTGAAAAATGGCCGCCCACACGGCCCCAGGTACCTGAATGTAGGATTCTAGGGGGTTGAGGGTTGACATGAGTTTGTGCCTCAAGAGGCGCAACTTTTGTCTGGCCAGTGTGTATATATCCGCCGACCCCAGCCGATGGCGGGGGAGCGCGCCAGAGAATTTTGCTCATCACCAACCCCCTTTTAGCCCAAAAACACCACCTCTGTTACATACGTAACTGTTCTCTGTTACCGTGCATCACTGGAGCTCGAGACCGGGCCCAACCCCAGCTCTCCGCTCTCGCCTCCCGAAGCTGCGCTCTCAGCTCCCCAAGCTTCGTCTTCCGCCGCACCTTCAGCTCGGCCACCACGTCGCCCGCCAGGCTCCGTGCGACTAGGCGCCAGGCGGACGTCCCCTCGTCACCTGGGAGAGGAAGCGTCGCCGGGCGGAACGTGCTTCCTATCAGCACTCCACGGGACTGCATATGTACCTGGGCCCCCAGGTACACAGTGTGTCGAATTCTAGCTCCTTAGAGGTTAAGGGATGTCCATTAACCACCCCTTAAGGGGTGGTATAATATGTTGCTATATTATACACATGTCACATGCCCACATGGATATGTTTGTTTATGCTGACATGGACCCCTCTTCAACCACCCCAATGTAGGCACATATGCCGGTCCCAAACTGGTGGTGTCTCGATAGTATGATGGTCCAACTTTTACAGTATGTCACATGTGGGTCGTCTGTCAGGATATAGCGCCCACATATCGCTCATCATACATTGGTATATGACTACAGAGTCGACAGAAGGCAATATGACCTAACGAATGCCAACAAGTCCTTTCCCGGCTGGAACCCGGGATTCCTGTGTCAGTTTCACGCGAAGAACATATCAAGGTTGTTACACTCTGCCCCCCAAAGAGGGGTACTACAACTTACTGCTCCGCCAAGTGACTTTCGATGTCCACCTCGATGACCCGCAGCACAAACTCCGGGTCCCACCAAACCTTGTAACGTGTAGGTGGATAGCACTCATCACTGGCACGGCAAAGCTGATCCGTGATGATGTAGACGGGATAATCTCCTTAGATGTGGTGTGGCCTGGAATGTCTGGGCAACTCTGCATGAGAAGCTGGGAACAGCATCAAACCTCCTCCACCAAGTGCTTTTCGCTTTGTTCACTTTGGGGCTTCCGCCTTTGGCAATTTTTGGGGTGATGACTGCGCCAACTTGGCATCACAACGCAGCTCCTGCTAGCCAGATCTTGAGCATGTGTTCTACTGGGACCGGGAATATGTCTCGTCAGAAAGAATCCAAAGAGCAAACACTATGCAAATATGCGGCACAGGTACCATCCATCCAATACCTGACAAGAGGCCGGCTTGCTTCAAAGCGATCTGCGAGTGAGTGCATCAAAGGTATCACCCAAAAGAATGAGACTCTAGTAAGGCTAGTGGACAAAATCCTGCATCAAACACAACGCACGGTATTGTACCCCTGTGTATTTTGCTAGTGCAGTATTCATGTGTTCCCCCATCAATAGTACCAGGAGAGTTCCCAAAAAACCGCGGTTTGAGGGGCCTCAGAATCCCTTTCTGCAAATAATGTATGCACGTATGCACATGTATAATATACAGTGTATATATATATATACCTTAAACCTCCGGTGCTTGTCTCAGCCTCTTAGCAGAGAGGCTCAAATGTTAGCCTCTCCATTCAAGAGTTGCCGCTTAGAACAAAAACTGCCTCTCGTGCTTTTCTGGTAGAAGGGAATCTTGTCATGTGTAATGTTTTTGGTGGTCTTCCGCTGCTGCTGCTGCCGACAGCTATCAACATGATATCAACATGATAAAAGATTATCGGTCAAACCCAAGCAAACAGACTTTCATCATGCTTGCTAGCAACTGCGTCCAAGCCCAAACCAGCCGTTTGAGTTTCATCATCAGGCAAGACGTAACTCTCCGAGGTGTTTGGCGTTTGGAGGTCTTTCAAGGCAGAGGTCATAGGAGTAGGCAGTTGCTGGATTTGCAACCTGAGCGCCTGCAACCGGCAGAAAACAAAGCTAACATGTTTAGCCAGGAAATGTTCAGACCAAAACACTGACTAGAGGTGAGTATCAATACCTATAGAAACGAACAGCCCCACCTGCGGTTGTTGCAGCTCTGACATCAGGGTTGCATCGTCACCATCAAGTTTGTCCACATCTTTCTCTTCTTTCACTAACGTCAAACCAGCCATGAGGGTCGAACTCGAAAAGACACGGGATGGAAGCTGATACGCCATTTCCCCTTTCGAGTAGAGACGAGCCTGAAAGCGGCAACCTGTCGACTTAATTAAATACTATGCCAAAAATTCATAACCCAGGAATTCCGCCTCTTACCCGGGAAGTTCCGCCTCTTACCGGGAAGTTCCGCCTCTCGTTGTTTCACGTGTTTCATGGTTTTGCTTATGTTGCATGTTTTTCATGTGCTTTAATGTGTGTTTTCGTGTATTTTGCGTTTTTCATATGTTTCATGTGTTATTTTTTTCATGTGGCTCTCCTGTGCTTTCATGTTTTTCATGTGGCTTTCATATGTTTCATGTGTTTTCATGTATTTCAGGTTTTTCATGTGCTTTTCATGTGTTTCATGTTTTCATGTGTGTTTATCAAATTGCGCGATATCATGTTCATATTTGCAATTTTCCTTGCAAAAAAGACCCCCACAAGTCCGGTTGGACCTGCCTGAAATGCAGGTGTTGAAGGGGAAAGCCGGACTTGTGGGGGTCATTTTTCGCAGGCAACTCCAAATGGAAAATTAGCAGTTCATATATATCTATATATAGTTTCATGTTGTGTGCGCTCACTTTTCCACAGTGAGTTATCGTGCCTTCATGTGTTTCACGGTTTATCATGCTTGAACCTTTTGAATGCATATAACTTATGTTTGGTTCATGGTTCGGGGTTTGTGGTGTTTTTCCTATATGTTAAGTGTATAAGTTTCATTGTTATCACGGTTATCATATGTTCTATCAACATAACTGGGGAGAAATCTATGTAACACAAGAATCGCCTCTTGCAAAAAAAATTGCCTCTCAGTTCCTAGAGGCGCCTTCTAGATTGGAGGCGCAAAAAGTGCAGCCCTAGGAAGATTCAGGTATATATTTATCTGCATATAGTTCGGACTTGCCCCAGAACACATTACAGTGAGCACAAAGATGGGCACCACTGTACGCGCATGGTGGTTCTTCCGACAGGATCGGAACCTCCAGTTCGGGCACCTCCGTCGTTCCGTCGCTCCGGGCCGAGAGACGTGTAGTAGTCCTGGCCTCAGATCGGTCGCCACCCCCAGGTTACGGGTCCTAGAATGATCACTTAACCTCTCTTGGCCATTGGGTGTCCACCTTGTACTAGCCGAATCTTTCCTGCACAATGTGACACGGGTGACTCCGAGATCTACTCCCGAGTAGGGTAGGCCTTTTCCAGTGCCCGATCGATTTGGCGCACGTCAAGGGGAATGCCATATATTAGATTAGATGGTCAATGGTGAATCACTTCAGTTTGGCATGGCTGAATCACATGTTATGCTTTGGCATGGCTCGTCAGCCGGGGGATGGGCTGACTGAATGGGGCCTCCACTCGCCGACACTAAAGGAAGAGAAACGCCCTTGACTCTCCAGCAACTTGAACACTATGGATCAACACCCGTCAACCCAGAACACTTGAGGCCGAGGGTTGGTGACGAAAGCTAGCAGGGCGGGGGTGATTATAGAGCCAACAAACAGAGTTATCAAACGAGCTGCCCACAACCGCCAACACGGACAAAAAGCACTGCACAACGCGGAACCAGCCAGCAAACCAGCAGAACAATGACCATGAGGACAATGACAACAGTGACAAAGACAACAAGGAAATCAACAAACACACTACTACAAACCACCAACACAAACGCACCACCACAGCCAAAACACACCTCTTCAATAAAGTAGAGTATACATCCAAGATCATCCAAGTCACCCTGTTTCTTCTCCATGTGGTACATACCATAGCAACAGTCCTTCTCATCCTTCTCCGCACCCGAAACCTTCGTCTTGGGGCTTCGTGTGTTGCCCTCCAGCGGTAAAAAGGCAAAGCGCGAGTGCGATGGAGCCTCGGACGAGTTTACGGTTGTTCGGTGGGGCGAGGGGAGTGGACCCGGCTTCTCCGAAAGTCACATGGTGGTGTTCTTGAGTAGAGAAGGATGGAGTTTCAAGTTTTTTCGAGGGGCCTATGTATTTTATTCACACTTTCCATGGATCATGTATTTATATAGAAAGTGTGCTCGGACAGCAGGTCATAACATCCCACAACTACCAACTATGCCTCATGCATCCTCATGCCAGGTTGCGGGGGTCTTGTAGCACCTGAATGCACATGATGGATTTTGATGTGTCAGATCCTGAATCTTCACGGGCCAACTCGGAGCTGTCTTTGTGCCAGCCAGGTCTAATCGGGAAAGGGCTGAAGGGCAACCAAAATGAACGAAAATCAATGTCAAAAAGGAAATTGCACGGAAACTTTGCCTAAGCAATCGTCGACTCAGGACTCCATATATCAACTTCATAAATTCATACCCTGCACCGCCGGTACCATCCGGTACCTACAGAACACACACTTGCTATGAGCTCCAAGTTCGGGTAGAGTTTGGAGCCTTGGCTGTCATGTCAGAATGAGAACCAACCGTTCAGAGCCAAGCACCAAGCCTGGACTGAACGTTCATGGCCAACTTACCACATGCCGCCCTCCCCGCGGGAAACACCCGCGCCCACCCACAACTGTCGGATCTGCCACAACATCCGTGTTCTGCGCAGTCCGAGCGTCGAGGTCGGCGACGAAGTATTCGGGCCCAGGGCCCTCGTCGTGTTCGCTGACGTAGCAGGGCGGACCCTCAGCCAGGCGGAAGGTGTAGACGTAGGCCTGAGGACTCCGGTCAACACCATGGCCATATGAGGTGGGGTCGGTAGATGTTTACCTTTAGTGCAGGTGGTTGATTGATCTGATCTTGGCCTGTGGGCGGCTATACACGCGTGTCTTCTATAACGTATATATCATATCTACCAGTTGGTGGGTCAAGTGTGGTTGCTTGGATGAAGGGAGAACGAACAACTAAAGGCCTTGGACCTGAGTGTTGAAACAAGTCTAGGCCGAAGAAATACCCTGGCCCCCTATTTGACAATGGCAAAAATCCTGAAACATGAAACTCCGCAAACAAATGCTTGTCCATATTGCTATCTATGGCATCATATAATCATATGGTATCAAAGATTTGCTGAGAAATACTGAACGACAAGTTTGCTTTTGAAACAGCCGGATCCATGGGTTCAATCGCATCCGAGCGGCTTGTGGTACTGTGACTCCACCTAGCAAGAAACATCTCACATTCCCCAAGAGGACCTTTGTCGTGGGAGTTCTGTCATTGAAAGCCCAAAGCAAGTATGTGAAAGTTTCGATCTTACTCCCACACCCACTTCATGCATCCGACATCATCCGACGTATACTGCAGGATTCGGATGGATTCGCCTGAAACATTTCTTCGAACACAAATGGATGAATCAAGGAAAATCACCTTCATCCAGCTCCGGAAGCTTCAAATCATTCGCACATCAAGTTTGTTGACGCCCAAGAGATGAATTTACTGCTCGCACGACCAGCCCATGAGCCAACCGAAGCATCATGCATCGTGAGACCATATCTCTCTGAACAATGCTTCAATGAAGTCTGATGGTGGGGAGGTCAACTGTTTCACCCCCCTCAAAGCTAGGAAGGGCCCGCTTGTCCACGGTCCCCCGCTTGTTCCATGATGCTTGTCCCCGTGGTGCGGACCGGTGACGGCGTGCCAGCAGCCCGACATGGTGTTCATCGCAGCGAAATTGATCATGTCCTCTCTCACTAACCAAGAGAGGTAGCCAGTGACCTGAACTAGGACCTTACTGGGGTACCTATATGGGATAGGCTAGTTACTAGTTCGGCTCCTTCAACCTCCGTTGGAACGTTCAGGGAGTTCTGTGATCTCGTCGACCGAAGCAAAACCACCGTCCGGGTACGTGGACCCACGCCTGGCAACGTGAGAGGATTCACCACGTCTCCTGGCGAAGCGTTGGCATTGGCGAACCACACATTGCACAGGGATCCACTGAAGGTAGTGCTATGACCGGACCCTCTATGCCTATGTTTCTTCGATCACCCTGCAAAAAGAGGGTGGCAGTGGATCCATAGGGTTCCGGGGATCTGCGTTTTTGGGGATCGTCTTTGGGGGTTCCTGTGCTTCGTTTCCGGGATCAAAGGCCAATACTGGATCCAAACGATGTTGTTTTGGGCCAAATCTCCTTAGCCTTCTTTGCTTCCGCAAATCTCTTGGGCTTGACGCGTCATGGCGATTTGTATCTGCTACATGAGAGACTTGGGCTGAAGAGCTCTCCGCCACAGCCTGAGACCATAGAAGTGGAAGTACGGTGCGCTAGAAACCCGGCAGGATATCTGCAAGTCTCTGAAGTTGGATTGCTGCATGTCAAGAAAGAAAACACTCTGCTGATGGCTGCATTCCAACTTGGTGGCTCTTCAAATGATTCAACAAATCTGTGGTGGAAGATATGGTCTGTGGGGAACTGCGAGACGATCAATTTCATTGTTTCGTCTTGCGAGGATGTGACACTCAAATGTGTTCAGCCAACGGATGTCTTTTTGTGCATCCAGCTCGGAAGGAATGTCAGCTGATAGCCAGCGGGTACTCCAGCGGGTCTAAGGTGACAAACGGTCACCATCTGGTCTCATCATGAATGTCTGACCCTGTGATGCTTTGAATGCTCTGGGAACCGCGGGCAAGAATGACATCACTTGTATCTATCCTATATTACCAGTAACTTATGTCTATAATGATGATGGTGGTTATTAAAGGCCTTTCTCTAACAATAGTGATATTATATGTGTTTGCTGATTGTTACGGGTATATAATGGGACAGATCCAAAACATCACATATACCCCGACTCATTAACACGGAAGTGGAAAGCCACGCTGTTGGTCTTTGCAACATCGGCGATGTTCCAGAGGAGGGTCAACATCCTTTCACAAGCCATTCTCATTATTTGCTCATGGCTGAGTGTTCATGGGCTCCATGCGCGGGGTCTCTTTTCGAAGCACATATTCCTGGGGCGAGCCCCAAATGTTCACCATTGGACCATCAAAATCACGTGATGTTTGGTGATTTAATGTTCATCATAAATTCATGGTTAAATGTTTAAACCATTGGGGGATGTTTAGATGTTTAGATTAGATGATTAATCACATGTTTAAACTAATCTAATCTCTTGACCCATCCATGCAGCCACTGTCAAAAGGGAATGATGTAGCCACGGCACCTCTGAAGTCATGTTTGGAGCACGGCCACCTCCCACCGCGGTCCTCCTTTGGTTTGGCCCAGCTCCTCGAAAATAAACGTGGGCGCCTCTTCTTTGGAGAAGCCCAACATCAACGCTTGCGAATCTGGGACGTCCTCACGGGATGAGTTGGATGATGGATCTGTTCGCCAGCATGTACAGGTGATTCGAAAGGGAACTAATGCGTCAAACGTTACAGGCTTAGGGTGTTTACATGTGTTTACACTCGTAAAGGTCCTTAGACACGGCGTCCAGTATGCAAATATGGTCGATTCGAGTCTTGTTTCTTAAGGGAGCCCCATGACGGACGTACGCAAACTCCGCGAAGCATGGCGATCATGACACATAAGGATGCACTTCCCGACACTGCTAAGGAATGTTTGGACTGTACAGAAGCAGGAACATGGACACACACACAGACACACATATGCTGGCATTGTACAGGTCGACCAGCTCCCTTGTCCACTGCGACTGATACATTGCAAAAGAAGCTTGGATGGCCTCGCACCTCTCACACGCACGTTGATCAACAGTAGGATCACGCAGTGATCAACCATATGGTAGACACACGAAAACACCTCCTATGACAACGCAATATGACAAAAAGACTTACAGTACCAGCTTGGATACAACCACCAGCCCAGTGCTCGCCCGAACCATTCCTTAGGTCTAAACCATTCCTTAGGCTTAAAGCTTAACCAGTTCGGAGTAGGTGGCAAAAGCACATCCGCAACTGTTTGGACTGTGAGCCATCATGCTAGTCACCATGGTTGCACAAACCGCCTTGTCCTCTCTGTCAAGCAAATCACCTCTCGTAGAATACCCTGGCCTGGGCGCACCGTGGCATTTTTTGCTCTGCTTGACATGCTCCGTTCGCACGTGCAGTGCATGGTCGCTCGGTCTCGGGGCACGACCGACGACGGAACCATCGTTGAAAAGCATGGGATGGAATGCGCATGGACTTCGTCCAGCATGGGATGGGATTGCACTGATTGTACCCTGGAAACCAGTGATTGATCTTGGCTGGGTCTGAGTCAGGACCGGACAGGCCCAACTGGTTGTTCATGATGGCGATTTATGTTGTCTCCACAGCTGCCATTTTTTGTTACAATAATCCTAATCCTCGGGAGTAAAACATGTGTTGCTATAAATGAAAGTTTGAAAGAGAACTTTTCCAGGATATCAATCCTATACAGTCTAATATGGTATAACATGGTATAACTAACACTCTATAATCTAACCAACTAATGGGCAAGTTTTGCCGCTGCACCCACGCAACTCGGGCGCAAGCACCCGCAGGTGCCAGCACTGAAGAACCGGATTGAAAGTGGCAGGAACAGACAAAACTGGAGGACAACAGTGCTGTTTTGCAGCCATTGTGTGAACTTGACCACTGTCGATCACGGGCCGATGGGCCGAGCGTGTGCCGTTCAGTGGCTTTATACGTATATACGTTCCTTAAAATCTCGTATCTGTCGCCCCACATGCAATCATATTTGTTGTCTTCAGCCCGGGCTACATGCCAAATGCAAGTTACTAGTCCTGTTGCCTGCAACATCCGGCACCCAACCACACCCTGGCCCAACCATGGTTGAACCTGGCGCTGCACCTTCCGCCAAGTCACGGCGGCCCAACCCCTCAGGGCACGGACTCGGCGTGGACGGCGTGACAGTTCTCGTAAGAAAAGGTGTGATGGGTTTCTCGGGCCGACTGATTGTATTGAGGATAGTGTAACAATCAGTGTGATCTAACACAGGTTTAGAAGGTATAACCTTAAAAAAAGACACTGGATTTGCTATGTGGTAGCGTCATACTATTGCTCGCATATTCCTCCCACATTCACCTTCCATCTGGAAGACCTGGTTCAGAAAACCCCTATGAAACTCACATACTTGGCCCCTATGATGGCAGCCTGGTGAACATCATACGTGGGGCACCCCCACCAACAATTACCTGGGTCAAAGGCACGACCGGCTGCCCTAACCAATCCCTGTGGCCCAACCGGCTGCCCGAACCGCTCGCTTTTCACCAGGGCGCCGAACCAATCGACAGCGTCGGACCCGTCCACACAGCCCAGCTTAAAGCGCCGTCCATGCCAACTGTGGGAGGCCTCAAGAGGCTGGAGGGGGTCGGACAGCAAGGGTCGTGACAGCCTGAGGGGAGAAGGTCAAGGCATGTCAAGGCCAATGTTCTTGTTGGTGAACTCGTGATGCGGCACGATCTGTGCTGGAGTGTTTACATGGCCGCGTGAACATGCGTGAACACCACTGTTTTCCATACATAAACCTGGCAAAATCCTGCGGGTGCTGACACACTCACTTTCTTCAGAGGTCCCTGGCAGAGACCCTCAAAATCGCACAGCGAATCTCTGACTCTAATCAGTTGCGTCATTGGTCTACATGCATACCTGTTTGACCGTTTCCATTCTTCTTGAATGTTAAATGGAAACGACATACTAATACCTGAAATGGATGTGAACATGGATGTTAATACCTGGACCGTGTCCATGTGTTACATCAAATCGATCCTATTTTGGGTGAGTGACTGCGAACGAGTCATGCAAACGGAGCAAGCACATCCGTGCTTCCATTCAGTCCGAGTGCCAAGCGTTGGTAGTATATAGGTGACATATTATGGTGACATAACTGGTATTTGATATGGCTGTGGGTCCTGGCATCTGGGCACCTGGTTGACCCAGGCATTCTGGTTGTCAACCTACGATGGTTTGGTGGGGGAGCTGACTGCTCCTCACAACCACATTCTTGGATTCGCCGAGAAGGTCATCATGCGTCATCCGGATAAAGGTCACACACAGGCGAACCAAGTCCGATGTACAGTGCAAAACATCATCATTACTTGGGCTTCCTTTGGCTGGGCAAAGGCAGGAGATGCAAGTGAACTACATTCCTGAAAAAATCATGGAAGTGGAAAACCACCTGTTTTGTATTCGGAAAGAGGCCATGCCATCCACTTCCATCATTTTTCCTGAGAGTGTCTTTTCCACTACTTTCTCCCTCTACGAACCTCCTCAGCCGAGGGGCAAAGGACTCCTCTGTCACTTCAGCTTCCACTTCAGCTGCCGGCTCCGCTTCCGGAGCGCCAGCGGCCGCAGCAGGCGCGGCGCGCTGCGCGCGCGCATCTCCAGCGCCCAGCTGTTTGAGGTGCCCCACCAGGGTCAGCTGCTCAGTGGAGGGAAGCATCGTCCACCTTCGGATGTGGTCTCAGCGGAACACCTTTGCGGCTTCTATAGCTCTTCTTTTCGGGATTTGGTCAGGAGAAAAACCCATGTGACCGCCCATATTGTTTTCCAAGTGGCTTTTTGATCATGTTGCCTCAGCTTGGTGCCGCAGCAAACAACTAGCTCAGGGGCTTTGCCAATGTCACCGATCCATCTTGTGTGCAGCGATCCAAACTGGCATGAATGGAGGCGGCAAAGACCCTCAATATGACCCATTTTGAACTGATCCATTTTCAGCTTGTAATCCTCAAGCAAACGGCATGCCAATGATGTTACAGCTGGCAACAAGACGTTACAGCATCAAGTGTATATGAACAATAATGGCAAATTACACTGGACATGCCTCCTGACATGGGTATGTTCCGTTTTGTTTCATCCCCTTGGTGACGCTTTTTTTTTCCACGTTCTCCGAAACTTGGTTGTCTGCCCAGTCTAGGTCTAGGTCTCCAAAAACCTTCATCTATCTTCATCTGGTTTCTGCTTGAGATGCAACAAAGCCATGGCTGTGAGGTGGCACAAACAAGTGATATGAGTGTCGTGCCACCAACGGTTTCCCATCCCCAAACATGACCGATGGGCATCTTGACCGATCAGGTGGAGTGATTGGACTCGACGGTTGACCGATCCCAGTTTCATGATCAACTCTCCATCTCGGATCTCTACCATGTCTCCCATGAGCTTTGATTGTAGAGGTGAGTTCCCATTGTCTCCCATGATAGTTCCGACTCGACCTGCCAGTTTTGTCCACATGAAACCCTGCCAGCCACGTCTCCAGCTTCTCCCAAGTGGCTGGCATTCGGTGGGATCTGGGGCGCAGTGGCCACCTCGACTCTTGTTGAAAGGCATGGGCATAGACTCCAAGCCCCAAAACAGGAAACACATAGACATACACTCCCTAAGCTTTGGTTTCACTCCCGAAACTTTGGTGTCTGTTGAGTTTTTTAGATGTTGTATTCATTAATATTGTCTTTGCTTGTGGAGATCTCTGTGTTTGACCCGAAACCCACATCAGCAATGCACTCTTCACTGTTCCAAGGTGTCTGTATGTGTCTGTGTTAGTCCATTATTCATTGTTGGGGGATTGCATGCAAGGCTTTCAAGGGCTGAGCCCCCCGAAACGAACAGAAAGCAGGGCAATCAGCGGACGGTGGACAGGTTCCGGGATCATTGTTTATAGCTTGGACAACTCATCCAACAATAGTACTCAATTACATAACATGATATGAACCAGCACCTTCAAAGGGGTCGGCAATGGAAGCCCCTACACTACTTAGGAATCTCCATTGAACACCCATTGAAGGTCCAGGTGTACGTATATTGTATGCAATTGGTTAGAACGAATACACATTGGGAATATCATAAATTTTCCAAAATTGTCCCCTACATAATCCCCCCGATTCTAGATATACCAAACTTTCAAAGGTCAATGGTCCAGTCTGCTTGCAGGACCTTGATAGACCCAAAAACCTCGGTTCCTTCGTCAGGACTGTGGATCCACCTTGACCCTGACATGTTGATCTCCCGACACGGTTTGGACTTCGCCGACACTCGTGCGAAAAGTGTGGAATAGGTTGTCCCCATCAGAAAAAAACATGGACACGACATGGATTTGTGTAATGCCATTTCCATGTCCATACTGCATTTAATTCATCCTGACCCCTTGGGAAGGCGCTTGTCGTGCTCTGGTATATGTCTTGATCATGTAGACGATGCTTCGGTGAGAATCACCACAAAGGTTCCAAAGTCGGTTCACCGGCGGGGGCCTTCTAGCTTCCGATCCATGTCCAATCATTCCAACGACCATTGTAATCGATTGTTGTTTAGAGATGTTTGAACATTGCAGTATAAGATATATGATTGTAATACTTACTATAATATATAATAAATAATATATAACTATATGATAATATATGTTATAGTTAACAAACCATTGTTTTTACCAAGGGTTCGACTCGACGACAACATACTTAAGGGCCAGGGTCTACCAGGCTTCGTCGCCGGTCTACCAAATTTTCCCGCGCCGAGCCGCCGTGATGTGAGGATTCCGGTTGCACGAGGTGCACCTCGACCGGTCGACCGGGCTGAGGTGATCGATCGAAGCAGCGGTTTTGGAGCTGCTTCGAACCCATCCCAAATCATGTCCCGGGCTCAAAGCAAACTTGGGGGCGAAAGCAAACTTCAAACTATCCCGCCGAAATCGCAGTACCTTAGCATTGGGTGCTGTTGGAACAGTCATTTGTGCACCCCAACACTCTGAATCGATTTCGTCTCGGAGACTGGACATGCACGTCGGTGCCACAAAAGTAAGCCGCGCAACGGGTGGGGCAAATGGTCAACTGGTCAGACTGGGTTGCTGGTCGCCTACAAATGCATGCCTACACCCTGGAAGACGATCCCATGGAACCTGAAACCCCTGGTTGGTAGAGGAAAATCGTCTTCCATGGGACCATTGTCAGGGTCCATGTTAGTTTTCGGGAGTGTATCGGTTCAGGTGTCACCCTCCACTATATGATATACCATGTTTTTGCATGTTCTTGGGCTCTGTATGGCTCTGCCACCGCCCAGGGAGACCATCCCAACCAATGTGATTTCTGTTCTTCCCGGGCGTGGGGGTCTTGCTATCCCTGGTCAACCAGGTCAACCGGGCTTCCCGCGGTGTGAACTCGGGCGCACCCGATGACCCCCACGGCAATGGCGTCATCATTGTGGCCCAACGAGACCACTTGGAGCTCAAAGCGCTGTTGCTCCTGACTGCTCTGGAGCGAAGGGAGGAGCGCCAACTGCTCTGCGCGATATGCCGCCGCTGAGTGGAGTGAACGAGGGACATAGAAACACTTCGAGGTCGATGATGACTCGCCGTTCACGTTCAACGGAGTGCGTCTGGACACTTCGTTTGGGGGCGATTTGGAGATGCACTTGACTGCAAATTTAGCCATGGTTGGCCTGCCGGCCCGTGTGATTCAGAAAACCACCGAGCGGAACATGGCGGCGAGTAAGACGTTCGCCCAAACCCCTTTTCATTCTGAGACGCGACTCATATGTTACGTCCAAACTATGCTCTAAACCGTCTCAACCTTCGCGTCATGTGCGAAACATGGATTCTTCGCGTCGCGTTCACGTTCGATTCCCGTTTCCTGATAGCGACTGATCTGCTTCTGAACAGTCTCCGCCTCCGCCGAGGACGGCACCGGACGACTCACGCGATTTATCGGTGGTGAAAGCAACGAAGAAACCCCATTCATCAACGAAAAATGACGGGCATGGCTTGCTATGATGGGCCCTTGACTATATACAAATAGTAGTTTTAATCTGCTTTATAATGATGAGTTTTGGAAGGTTTTGGACAGATTGGTCCCTTGATGTCCCTTCACATCATGTCACCCATGACTGTATAGTGCGATGTTTCACCGCCCTGGTGACTCCCTCGCGCGTGGTCCACGACCGCGCTCCCGGTGACCGTCCAAGGGGCCACGGAGCGGAAGTCTTCGGTGGTGGGATCCGACAAAGGGCCCAGGCAAATGGTCATATGATCCCCATACCTCGTGGTGCGCAGCGTGGCTTGGTAGTCAAGTGTTCGCAAATGCAGTGAGAAACAGCTCGCGCGTCGAGTGGTGAGCCGTTTCAGAAGCGAAAGAGTGCGAACAGCGACAGGGACTTTCTGAAGGGAGCAAGTGCACAGCATTTGGAGGTGAGTTTGGGGGTGAGGGTGAGTCTATGACAGGAAATGCTTTCGAAACCGGCTTCTGTTACCACGGATGGAACTTGACTTCACAAAACGTCACTGCTTTGGATACTTTGGAACAGGGAGTTGTTGAATGTTTTTGATAGTTTTTGGTGCCACCAACGGTACCACCGCGCCAAGGTCAAGTAGCATCTTCCACCGCGCTGGGATGCCTCCTGCGATGGTCCTGGCTACTGCAACCCCGGTCTACGGAGCAGCCAAGGGGGTCCATCAACCACCCCAACCCGCTTTGACCCTTGGCAGAAACCACTGGAGTTTGGCCAGGTCAGTATGGCATGGTTGGAATCAAGAACCATCTGTGGTAAGAAGATGCAATGCCCTTGGAGTCGCAGAGAGACCCCTCCATGACCAACAAAACATCTTCGTAAGGGAGCGCAACTCTTCGAGGATCTTGATTTCCCAAAGATTTGGCTTCATGCCAGGAATATCACGCTGTGAAACTTTGATTCACATATGATTGGTTCACCAGAAACACACAGGCCATGACTCCCAGCGACGTGGATGGATTTGTCGATGGACACAAACACAGTGATCATGATTTAAACAAGCAGCTGGGTCATTCGAAAAAAAAAAAAAAAAAAAACATGTGTCTGTCACCCCCAGTGTGCGAAGACCTGCTGGGCGGGACCACAAGCGTCCGGCCGCGACTGTGCGTCAATGGCTCCAACAGCGTGAATTTCCCAGGCGTTCGTGGAACCTACGCCCGCCCAAGTGCCTGCCGCAAAAGTCGAAGAGCTTCTTCCGGCTTTCTTCGTCCAAGAAGACTGCAGAGTAGGACACCTTCCTGTTGCCGCTGGCCCAACACTAAGGATGAGCACCATGGAGCACCCCAGGCCTCTGGATATTTCACCTCTTGTAGGTAGCTGAGGTAGCCCACCAGTTTTGGCAAACATGATCTTACATATAGGTAAAGCAAGTGCATCTGCTTTGGTCTTCTCAACAGCAAAGCTTAGGCATCAGCATTGGACATGTGTAAGCGACTTCAGCCTCACCAAAAGAAAATAACACACTCTGCGGATATACCATGTGGAATATACCACATTGCCGTCTTGATCCCTGCAACTGAAGGATTTCCAACAGTCTTGCGTGCAAGTGTCCCAACAGCAGCACTGGCCGGAGCTGCCTCCTCAATGACCGCCTGACAATCTTCTTTTGATTTGGTCCATCAGGGAAACAGTTTGTTTACTTGACAATCTAGAAGGATTCTTAGTGCGGCCTCAATATTGAACATGATTGAACAGTTGCTTGCGAACTCTCAGGTGTTTCCCCTCTATGTTTCAAGGTGTGTGCCATCGTGTGCCGCATCTTTGAGGAAAGGGAGAACATGAATCCGGTGCATCCGGTGAACACACCAAAGCTCATGAACCGGGCAGAACCTGCAGAACGGGTGCCATGAGCCGCCAGGGTGGACGACCAGTGCCAAACGATGTGGACGGGAGCCATGATCCATTGGATCCATGTGTTGAGAACTCTGGGGTCGCAGCTCCAACTCAGCTCCAAATGCCAACTCTACTGGCAACCTCACTAGACCACCATTTGGCTATGGAAGTTTTTACAGTGCAGTCTTCTTTTTCTAAGAGGTCCTGAAAGGCTTCTTTTCTGCTTATATAGATTTATGCATCGTTAGCAACTGCTGTAGCCTATTTGCCTGTTGACCTGATAGGGCTATTTCCAAATTTTGCAGAGACCTTCCAAGATTTGCAGAGTTGTTTCACAAGAATTGCTGCACATTCTGAGAGCTTTTCATCGTTTAGGGATCTTCATTGAATTGCCAAGATTCTAAGGGCTAGCTAACTCAGCTCAGCTAGCCACTGTTTGTTCTCCACCGTTTCATCCTGGGCATAAATTATGCATGTTGATGTTGTGTCTCCTGCGGCTTTGGTAGAATTGACTAGATCACATAAGTTTACATTCTATATACATCAAGTTCAGAGTTGGTGGCACTTGAAAACCACCCCGTGAAAACTGAAAGCTGTGCCATCGTCTCAGAATGGCATCCCAAGTTCACCAGTTCCCAAGATGGAACATCTTTATAAGACTCTAAGACAAAAACAGCGATTTCACACAAACAAAGCTTTTCTCTGAATTGATCTTCTGCACTGCATACTCGATGGCACCCAGTCATACAAAAATCCCCATAACAGCTGCCCCATGCGGCCCCAATCCGACCTGTTCCTGCTTGAAAATACCTGGTTGGCGGCGTTCGACTGACAACCTCAAACACTTGATGCTGACAGCCTAAAAAGCCTTCGTGCCGGGGCGAAAAAGAATGATTTGCTATTGATCCACAAACCCTCCGAGAAGATCAAAGAAAATTGGAGGGTCCAGTCGTACCGAACCTGAGAAGCCACTGCGGTTTTTGTAGGGATTGGTGACACTGGAAACCAAGCACAGGACACTTGAGGAGACTAGGATGGATGGCTTAGTTGCAAGTTGCAAGGTTCATTTCCATGGACACCCCAATTTCCTTGATGGCTTACCCCCCTGAAAACTAATAGAGACCCTGAAAACCACTGGTGCAGCTAAAGGAAAGCCGTCTTTGAGGGTGACGTTCTCAGGGTCCATGTGAGTTGACTCGGGAGTGTAATTACATTTAATGTGCCCACGAAGAAGAAGAAGTCCATCAGTCATCCTGTACTGTACTCTAAAACGGAAAGCCAGCCATAGGACTTCAGTCATCTACTCTGACTCATCTTCTGTGATTCCTGACTCGTCAGCCGCCCCAGGATTGGTGCGGCTCCAAAAGGAAGTTCTCAAAAAACGTGCTGCCAACTGCCATCACAATAAAAAGGCTTCAACTATCAGACTCCCTGCCCCTGAGGTTCAAACATTGAGTGTGAGGGGTCAAACAGGGGGACGCTGGGGCATAAGATGGCTGTCTTCCTGAAGAACAACTTAACTTGAGGCCAGGGGAAGGAGGTCGAAAGCTAGCCGAATCGCACCGGATGTACTAGTTACATAGTCGGCAAAGCATGTAGTGAGTACATGTTCTGGGAGGAAGGTTGCTATGTACATACTTTGCGCTAAAGAATGTAAATGTGACATCGCTGACTGGGAAGAGTACATTGGAACAACCCGGGTGCACTCGTTGGCAGGCACGAAGATGCGTGATCGGCAAATCTGGGGGGTAAATTTACCCTCCGCTTTTGTATGCCTTGAGGGGTAAGCATTTCTGACATCATACGGACTGTACACACACTAGGGCGTCCGTAGTGTAGGATAAGCACTGGTGAAAGGTATAAGGAGCAGAGTGTCTTGAGGAAATAGCCGGCTTATGGTTATGGCAAATCTGGGGGGTAAATTTACCCCCCGCTTATGTATGCCTTGAGCCGGAACGAGGGGTAAGCATCACAAGGACTGTGCATACACTAGGGCGTCCGTAGTGTAGGATAAGCACTGGTAAAAAGGATGAAAAAGGTATCAGGAATAGAGTGTCTTGAGGAAATAGCCTGTGTATGGTTATAGCAAGCCTTGGGGGTAAATTTACCACCCGCTTATGCATGCATTAGGTTAGAAATAGGGTAAACAACTTGTAACGGTGAAGTACAAGTCCTATGCAGCAAGCAGCAGCCAGCAGCCAGCAGCAACCGCCAACCAGCAGCCAGCCAGCAGCACCACGCAGCAGCAGCAGCAGCAGCACCAAGCCGCAGCAACAGCAG